CTTTATTACGTTAGATTTAAATAAGTTTTTATTGCTAACGTTTAATTTGAATAAGCTCAGGCTTCTTAGTAGTAGAAAGCCAGAGTTTAATGTTTAATTTTTGTAGTGTACTTGGGCTTGGCAACCGTAAATTAGAGTTTAATTAGTTTATATCTTGTAGATTCTTTAATGAGTTAAGGTTATTAGTAATAAATATCACATTTACTCCACTTTACGCGCATTTATCTATTCTTTAAATATATGTGGTAAATTCTCTTGCGTGTATTTAAGAGTTCGTAAGCCTCTTTCTATGGAGTTTTTCGTTTTCAAATAGTATATAAATCTATTAAAAATTATGTAATTTTATTGGTTAATTATCACGGGAAATCACCAATCATATGAATATCCCATACGTAGCAAGTGTCATACTGAATTATGAATTATGAAAAATAAAAGTATTAAGTTTATTAAAAAAACACGATTCAAGGTTAAAACTTGTAAATCGATTTTTTAACAATATATAAGTGAAGCTCTTTAGTGAAACGTTACGTTCTTGAAAATACCTGCCCGAATGATTCGTTCAACTGTCCACGTTATAAGATCAACACTTTGTATTACATTACTTGCACAAAATAACAAGAACCGAAATTTCATATCCTAAAATCATGTGATTCATTTTACCTGCGATAGCCAAGGTTTTAGCTTTTAAATTGCAAAAATTTTACCAAAGCATCATATTTAATGGTCCGAATAACACTGTGGCCTCTGTTCGCTAGCTTCGTGGTTACGGCACTACTGATAACTGGCAGCAGAGCAAGTGAGGATATCCTGGTAAGGTTTTCAAGTTACTCCCACTGTTAACCGTTCAGATTCACACTTTGTTGATCCCTTTCAATTAAATTAGTACAATGATCTCTATAATCGACAACAATGTTCTGGAATGTATGATAAAGCTGCAATTCCAGGAGGGACGGACTCAAAGATTACTTGTGTGTATTTTTAAATTAAGGAAATGATTTTAACTTACTGATTCATTTATTAATTGAAATACCTTACCAGTGAAATATGTCAAGAGTTCCGAAATAAATGCTGCTGTGATTATATTTGAATACTCAGATTTCGATAGTATTGGATATCACAGTGGAGAAAAGGTAAATATTTCTCGTAGTTTAATAGATTTGACTGATTCTCGAAATAGATCTAATTATTAATTAATTAAATTCAGAAAGATTTAATTTGTAATAATCACACAATTAAAGAAAAACATTGCCTCGAGTCAGAGTTTGGCAACTTTATTTATAACAAGAATGCATCGAGTATCGATACTCATGTATTCAACGATACCAAAAAAGATCAGATTTATACGTACCAAGTTAATAAAACCGGTTTTTATTGTGTTGCAGCGTAAGTTGTAGTTACTATAATAGTTAAATTTTTTAATATAGATATTAACTTCCTACATAATTCAGGCTCTCTTCACCTGATCTAAATAAAACTTCATATTTTATGATAAAAGTTGATTGGAGAAATCCGTATGGTGAATTGCCCGCTTCGGATTATCCTAAGCTGCCGGTACTTTTTATAAATTTACCATTATTCTAATCTATGTCTCTATATTCTCAAATTTGACTAATGTATATCATTATTAAGTTTTATGGACTCTTATCACTGGTTTATTTGGTTATCGGTGTTATATGGATGGCACTTAGTATAATACATTGGAGAGATATTCTACCTGTACAGGTATGAATTGTATTAATACTACAATTAATGTTATAATTTCTCTGATCCTTTGATATATGATATTGATCCAATTCTTTAGAATTATATTTCAAGTGTAATTCTATTTCTCATGTTGGAAATGGCTTTCAATTGGGGATATTGGGAGAATTATAATAACTTTGGTGTTTCATGTAAGCACACATATGCATATACGTATAGCAAATATAGATCGAACGAAGCTCATCAATTTTGTATTTTAGCAACATTTCTCCTTTGCCTTGTTGTTGTTCTCAACGCCGGAAGAAATTCTATTTCATTCTTTATGTTATTGATTGTTTGTATGGGATATGGTGTAGTCAAGTAGGTCAACTTTTTACATATTTTTTTAATTTCAATATATATCTAACGAATTTAATGAATATAATGGTATTTTATAGACCAACTCTTGGTAATACGATGAATAAATGTCGTGCACTAGCTGCAGCACATTTCATTTTTGGCGTTATATATGCTGCAGGTACAATGCTTGTCGACCCTGATACCTCTGGTCCTCTTGTATTTCTAGTCATTTTTCCATTAGCTCTTACAATGACCGCATTTTATATATGGACACTTCAATCAATTACAAATACTCTTCAAACTCTTGAAATTCGTAGACAGAGTGTTAAATCTTTAATGTACAAACGACTTTATAGGCTTTTAGTTTTTTCAGTCAGTGTTCTAGGTATATTCTTTTTCATAAATACGTTTAATTATCTCCACCGAGGAGATAGTGATTGGATACCGAAATACTGGCAATGGAAATGGTTTTTATTGGACGGATGGTTGAATATTCTATATTTGATTGTATTCTCCGTAATACTCATTATTTGGAGACCTACCCATAATAATAAGAGATATCCTTTTGATTGGTAAAAAATTACTTTATTTTAATTATACGTATATTTATATTTCATTTTCCTTAATTTTATTTTACATTTGCGATGAGCGAAGAGTTAGCGCAGGATGACGACTATGATTTGGAGAATATCAGTCATGCATTGGAAGGTCTTGGTTACGAACAGATAAAATATAGAAATCCCGCACGAGATCATAGCGAGACTGAAAGATTGCACGGTAATGGGACTGCAATATTTGATATTGGGGATGAACACGATGGTGAATGGGACGATGATGAAGAATCAACTTTAAGGGCAAGTAGAAGAGATAGTTCTGGAAGTCATGAGTCACCACCTAGGTATTATATTTATTTATTTTAAAATGAGGATTGTTTTTATTACCAATATGTATGTTGATTAAAGAAATAAAACTATATTTCATTATAGGCGTGACGAAGAAGTAACTCATGCTGGTCAAGAAATTTCGAAATTAAATTAATTATTGGAGTATATATTTTAATGGACTAAATACTAAAAATTATTAATAGCTTATATTGAAAAAAGAACATTTTTAAAGAATTTATATTATTGATTAGATTACTATATTAGTTAATCTTTTGCATGTGATATTGTAATTGGGATTTCAATATTAAAAATTAGAAAAAATTCGATATTAAAATGATTTGATGATTCATCAATTGTATTTGTAACATTTAGTTATATACTGTAATATGTAAGACTGTCTCCCTGGTTTGTTTGGAATGAAACGGACGTTATATTTCTATGTAAATGCCATCAAAATGTCACATTCACGTGACTTACCGGCTTTTTAGGCAAACGTGCCTGGAATTTTTTTTAAAACATAAATATTAATGATATGGACATACACGCTAGCAAACCTCTTGAATTTGGGATTTATTATAAATGGATAACATTGTAGTGTTTTTTACTAGTTTTTTAAGAATAACCTCAAAAATGTAACGGTAACTGGTGCTTTATAAAATTATGGAAAATACTTTGGTTGCACTCAGTTATCATTTCCCAAAAATTTTATTGCATCCGTTATAAATGGTATATAGTTTCAAAAATTAATTATCGTTATAGTTGTTCTCACGTGATTGCCGGTCACGAAAAATACATTAAATATATCGAAATAATTCTATTAAAATATTTTATTCAATGGATCTTTGTTAATTGAATAAACAGCTCACACTCATACCATGCATAAATATAATAGATAATGATATAGTACAGATTTGATCAAACATAAGAAAAAAAAAAAAACAAGAAAATATCAGAATGAGGATCACTTAATTCAGATAACTACATAAATGGCTATTACATAAAGTACAGTTCAACAGCACCAGTAACAGCTTCCAGAGTCACACTGGATTTACTACGTTTTTTCTTATCCTTCTTATCGTCATCGTCATCGTCATCATCATCGTCATCATCGTCGTCATCATGATGGTCATCCTTACCCTTGAACCCAACTTTAATGTTTCGCAAATTTTTACGATAGGTGAGATCTTTGCCTTCAACATAAGCGTAGCCAACTAAAGTAGTGACGGTAAAGTTTCCAGCATACGAGTCGGACTAAAAATTTCATATCAAAATTTTAGTGATTAGAGACATGATTAACCTAATTGACCGCCCCTGTATTAGGGATAAAAAAATATACGCACCACAGTAGCAACGATACCACCATTAACTGAGCCAGCTTTAAGGGTAAGATCTTGATTTTTAGTCAAATCTTCCTACAGGTACAATTAAGAAATATAGTTAACAGAATGTCATTTCCTAATAAATTTTCGCCAGATAATATAGACATGCAGAACATACCACATTCATGTTCAAGTGGCCATTGATAGATTTGGCGGTAATAGAAATATCTTCAGACCAAGAATTTGCAATAGCATTTATAGTAATTCCTCCATTGATAGTGCGAACCTTAATGTAAGTAACGAAGATCATGCAATATTGAAAAGCTGATTAACCAACAAGAAAGTGAATACATTTCCTTTATATTATATTAATCATACTTACCTCTAAGCTTTCAGCAACAATGTAGGATCCTTTGACATGTCCATTGACAGTAGAAATTTCGGCAATGGCGAAATTAATGTCCTAGTTAAAAGAATATGTCATTAATAACTTCAATATTACTATTAATAATTAAGAAAATACTTACATCAGCTTTAATATGACCATTTCTAGTTTTAAGGCCGACATACGCAAAGTCAACATTTCCCAAACCTTCAGTAAATATTTGGCTGTTTGGTACATCGACTAATATAGATCTGAAGAAATTAACTTGAGCGGGAAGCGTAATTGTAGTAACGATAAAGACGCATTTTTGAGTGGAATGGGGACCCTCGAATGGTGGAGTCTAAAAAGAATGTAAAACTTATGGTGTTGGCAATAAGCATCGCAAAATATAATCAAACATCGTCACAAATTACCTCAATAGTAATAGAACAATCATCATCAATAAGATCAATTTTGACATCAACTTCGCTCTGAAGACTTTTATCAGACAAATAAATATCATTTGTAACATTGATATAATCATTCAAGGATGGATCTTGACGAATGATGACACTTCCGTGCTGCATTTTAGAGTCAAAAAGTTAATATAATTATTAAAAAAAGATAAATAAAATTGCATTAATTTTGACTGTTTTATTACCGATGACATTCCCTTAATAGAAAATATCAATCCAGAAACATCTTGTGGGTCAACCAATATTTCAGCTGGACCATTCCATCTGTAAATAGGATCACAGAATGGTTCCTTAGGAATAGGCGGCACAGGCATATCAATTTTAGAAATAAAAAGAGGTGTTCCAATATCGGTATGTCTGTGATCGGGGTTATAATTATCTAATTCCTACAAAATTATTATCAATACAAAACCTTGTTAACGATGATTGATTTCATGTAAATAAAACCGTCATGGCTGAAATTACATACATTAAACATAAAGTATGAAAGGCCAATAAATAAGAAGCGACCGGCTAAGAAAAATAGCAATGTGAAGATCAAGACTCTCCTCCAAATTCTTTTTCTCTGACAGTTTTGATGACAGCATCCTTGCGGTGTGGTGACAACCAACACATGAGGGAATTCTTTACTGTAAGCCGGCAGTTTCTGGTCTTCGTGATTTCATTATATAAATTTATTAAGAAAAAATGCAATTATGAGTTAAAATATAACGACATTCTACATAACTAATATGCAATGCTACCTTGAGCAGGCTCCTCAAGCGGAACAGCAATATAACCAGTTTTATTGGACATTATACGTCGTTAAAAAAATATATTTATGAAACTAACGTTTCAAAAAAATGAACAAAAACCGGAAGGCGGAAGTGTTCAAGTGATCTTCTCTGAAGTTGGTTGAATTTATTAATTTGTAATAAACCCCTTTTCCTTAATTGGAAAATGTGGCTAAATGAATTATTGTACTGTATCTCGTGACCGTTATTGTTATTTAATTTTTGTTAATAAGGTCAATGTGTGCTTAATATAAAGCTTTAACGTCGTTGGGAAAACAGTATTTAATGTATACTAAATTTGGACCTTTATTAAGATAAGTAAAATATAGAGAAATGCGATAATACAAATAATACTAACTAATACTAATACTATACTATTGTCGTTATTTAGGTATATTACTATAAAGTAGTGATTTGAACCGAGAAAATTTTCCTTAATCGGTTAACCGAACCGAATTATTTTCATTCAACCGGTTGCCAACCGGTTAAGATTAATACTCTATCTTCGGAAATTCTCGTAGTTTTACCTAATTTTTGTTCGTTCATTTATTTTTTCGGAACTTTTTGGAACATTTACTCTCTCCTTATTACATTATTTTGTTATTTTAAGATCCCACCAGCCGGTTGTACCGGGTCAACCGATTAATAATTTCCTCAACTGATTACCCGAAATTTATTCGGTTCGGGTCGGTTAACCGATTATAGTTTAACCGATTCAAGTTACTACTATAAAGGTCATTAAAAGGGCAGTTACTTTTAACCTACGGGAGTTCGAATTGTCCTTTTCTATTCTCGGGGAAGCATTCTTTATATACAGTTTTCTTCTATTCTGATAGTTCGAAACTTCTATCTGGTAGTTGTCAACTCTGCATCCGTTAGTTTCTAACTTCCATATAATAGTTACTAACTTTTTTTATTTTCTTTTAGTTACTAACTTTTCTACCGGTTATTATTCCACCCTAATAGTTCGAAACTATCGGTAAATCCAATTTTGGAACCCTTAATCGATGTGGCTTACCGTTTCCGTATCACAGAC